CTCCAAAATGTGGATGGGCTGTGTTTTGGACGGAGCTGGGTATTAAAATCAGATTAAGGCTCCTTGGCAGCTCCGGCGGGATCACGAGAGCGAGCCGTGCTGGCTATAGGGCTCGCATGCTTTTCCATTTTGGGGGCTGCAAGAGAGGCGCTATACAATAAACCGGGCAGGAGCCGGAGCCGGGGCTGAGCCCGAGCGCGGCCGCGCATTTCGCAGCCGGCTCGATGAGGCTGCTGCAAGTGGGAAGAGTTTTCTGTAGTTATGTATCATCCCCCCGACCCTTCCCTTTCATAACCACGGATTACAAAATAGCTCTGATTGTGAAGCGAACACATTCATCCCAAGCCTTGCTCTCTCGCCGCTTCAGCCCCGCGGTTGCAAACAGCAGGAGCGTGTGTGTGTGTGTGTGTGTGTGTGTGTGTGTGTGTTTGTGGGGAGCAGGACCAGGGCTTCATCCTGCCGCCGTTTGGGTTCAAAACAAACACGGGCTCGAGACGTGCTAAATCAGATTTGGCCGCGGTGCGTGTGCCAGACAGAACCAGGCAGGGCTTGCCACCAGCCAGATTGATGTAGTCCCGGCACCTCTGCTCGCATGCACCAGCGCCAGAGCGCTCCGGCTTGGCACGGGACCGGGCGGCTTCTGGGGGCAGAGCAGGGGGGAGGCAGCCCGGCTTCTTAACCAACAGCTGCTGACAGGTTGATTACAGCAGAAGGGTCAGGAAAGGTGAGAAGTGGGCCGAGATTTTGTAAGCAGTTTGTGGGGTTTTTCCATTTTATTATTGCCGGGAGAACCATCGGCTTGGCGGAGAGGAGGCTGCTTGCGTGGGACGCTGTCCCTCGGAGTGGGCTGCTTGTGTGGGATGCCATCCCCTGGAAGTACGGCAGGAAGGCTGCAGCTCCCACCAGCCCCATTGCTCCCTGAGCAGGTGAAAGTTCCTGGCTCCACTCCTCTGTAATAACCCTCCTGTTCTCCACGCCTTAACCATGACATAAAAAGCCTTTATGGTTGCAGCACGTGCCTGGAGCCCTGTTTCTCTTTTTCTTGGCTTTTTGGTCAGCATTTGATGTGCCAATCTAAGAATCTTATTCCAAAAAAGGGACTGCTAAGGGAGCGGGGGGGGGAAAAAAAAAAAATCCTACGAATTGTCATCCTTCTCTGGTGCAAGCCCACCATGTTGTGAACATTCCCTGGAAAATTTGGAACTGTGAAATGGCCTGTGCTGAAATGAGACCATGTTTATGAAACGTGCTTGGCCCTGTTTTCTCTCCCTGTCCCCGGCGTGCTCTCTGCAGGAGGAGCAGCACAGGTAGCGCTGGTCCGAAGTCTGCAGGTGCAGGAAGAGAGGAGCAGCGAGGGCAGCGATGCAGCTCGCTGCAGCTCCCGTGCAGCCCCTCTGTGCTCTCCTGTCCGGCGCCTGCTTTCGATAATTCCATTTCCTCTTCTGTCCCCGCGCACGCTGAGGGGCTCGGGGCTGGGATGGGAAGAAAAGAGAAGGAAAAAAGAAGAAAAAACAGCCCCCCCTCAGCTATGATTTGCATGCATTTGCTTAAGAACAGCCTGAAGTTGTAAGCATGTGTTGTGCTTGTACCTTAACCTCTGATGAAACTGGGGGAAGGCTCCAGCCCTGGCTCTGTCACATGCTGCCTTCTAACTGGGAGCGGGAGGCGGGCCGGGCTGCCACTGACGTCTCTCCCCATTACTACTGTACGAGCCTCTGCTTACAACTGGGTTACTGACTCCTCGGTGCAGCCCCAAAGCTGCTTCCCCAAAGACCCCAGTGCTCCAGCACGACAGCAGACTGCCCTGAGAGGCTGCGATGGCAGGAGGCCACGAGGTGATGAGTAGCAGCCGTTTCCTTCGTGGAAATTTTGAGGAACTGGGACTCTCCTGCTCTCTGGCCCATGCTCCTCCCCAGTCCTTGCTTTTTGCAGTAGGTTTTGAGAAAGGTGCAGTTGGTGCAGGTGCTTTCTCTCCAGGGGAGGAATCCTGAGCAAGGCTCTCGAGGAGATGCACGGGGAAGGCTTGACAGGGGTATCTGCATCAGTCCCTTATTCATCAGGGTTTGTGCTGAGGGTGCCTGCTAACCTCTATTTACATATCGAGGACAGCGATGATTCACGTGGTACCTGCATTGCTACAGAAAGAAAATCAGGGTTTTTCACTTGATATCTGCCTTTCTCCTGCCAACTCCTTTTTTCTTTTTTCTTTTTTTTTCCCTTTTTTTTTTTTTCCAACAAAAAAAAAAAAAAAAGTGATTTTGTTCTGCTGTGCCTCAAAATGTGTCATTTCTGGGCCTGCTTAATCCATTTTGTGCAACTCTGCTGCTCAGAGGTATGAAGCTGGTTGTAGCTGGTTCATCTGCTGGCACCAGGCACTGGGAAGTGCCAGCCAGGCAGCTCTGCCGAGAGCACCACGGAGCAGCTCTTAGCATCCCTGCAAGAGGCTGGAGCACCGTGCTTCTTACTGCTTCCATTTGTTTAAAAATCTCAAAAAAGTGCAGTGGGGTGGGGGGGAAAATAAAAAGAAAAAACCAGGCTGCTTTCTCGGAGGGATGTTTAAAGATCACATGAACTGAAATACAATATTCCCTCTTTAACTTCCCAGCCTCCTGCTAACAGCTTAATCCATCGATGAGTGCAGGAGGCACAGTGAGCCAGTGCTGGGTTGGCATTTCTAGTGATGAAGTGGGGGTGCATCCCTAATTTCTGGTAGTCCTCACTGAGCTGATCGTTATCCTGCTTTTTCTGTGGCTTTTCTCTCAAAGATTTGGAGTGGGTTTGGACAACAGATAGCCCAAGGGTCTGTGCAAAATGCATCCTCAGCTGCATTGCTGCAGCGTGGGTCGAAGGGCTGCTGCAGTGCCAGGGCTGGAGAAGGCTGAAGTTTCCTGGGAAGCAGGGTGGCTGTGTCCTGGTGGCTGTCACCGTGCTGGTGGCTGTCCCCACCACAGCAGAGGCTGTGGAGGCAGGTGAGCACAGCGGAGTCTGAGCTGAGCCAGGAGAGGGAAAGCAGCTGGCAGCAGCTGGAGGGAGAGCAGGGAACCTGCCCCTCAGAGCCTCCCCACACACCTGCCTGCCTTCCCCCGGGATTCTGAGCCGTGTTCCCCACCCTGGCAGTGCCCCAGGGGTGCCCCACGCCGGGGGTTTTCCCCCACCTGCCTGCTGCACATCCCTGCCCCGCTCTCATGCCGTAATGGAAAGGCACCTCTCCAACAGGTGAATAATTAAGGGCTCAGTGAGGGCCTCCAGCAAAGGGAGCTTTGTGAGGGAGAGGGATCTCTCTCACATTAACCTTTCCAATGTCAAAAGCCTTTTTGTAGGGAGGAACTCCACTTACACGAGCTCTTTGGCACGGTTGGTTGTCTAATTAAAAATGCTCTGGGAATGCCCCTTCCAGCCCCAAACTGCTGTTTTTGGGGAATGGGTCCCATGTCCCTGGGGCAGGGCTGGGGACAGGGGTGCCACAGGCTGGCTCCTGGCAGATGGTTTGATGTGGTGCCAAGGGCAGGAGCGCACCAGGCTCTGAAATCCCTTTCGATGGGGCTGGGGGCTGCAGCAGAATATGGGGGCTGCAGTGCCATAGTGACAGGACAAAGAGGATGGATTCAAACTGAAGAGTAGGGTTAGAGTAGATACCAGGAAAAAATTCTTCTCTCTGAGGGTGGAGAGGCCCTGGCACAGGGTGCCACAGGGAGTAGCTGTGGCTGCCTCTGGATCCCTGGAAGTGGCCAAGGCCAGGCTGGACAGGACCTGAGGCAACCTGGAAAGTGTCCCTGCCTATGGCAGGGGGTGGAATAGATGAGCTTTAAAGTCTCTTCCAACCCAAACAATTCTATGATCCCACGAAGGACACGATTCCCCCTGGCCAGCACGTGCCAGGAGCCTTGGGGCTGGGCATTGTGCAGGCCCAGTCTGTCCTGTTGCTGCCAAACGCCGCCACCGAAGCCACCACTCCTGTATGACCATGGCCCTGGGGAGATGGTGTCACCAGAGCGAGGGGCACCGTCCCCGTGGGGCTCTGCAGCACTGGCTGTGTCGGGGAAATGCCGTCCCCAGAGCTCCACCGGGCCCAGGCGTGTGGCACTCGCTGGCCGCCGCCGCGGAGCCGGGGCCGTGAGGGGCTGGCAGGGCCTCGGCCGCAGACACGTTTGCCGGAGGATTCGGCTTCAGGCTCCCGCAGCTGAGCCCTGCTCCATGGCAACCCGGCGCGGGCTTATATTTCTCGTGACTGCTTGGCAGCCTGAAGTGATTTACCAGGGGGGGAACTCTGTAGGCGCCGGAG